CCAACTGAGGAGCATTTTTTTCTGTTCTGTATTCTGCAGTTTTAGTGGTCTGATTTCATTTAAAGATCTCGTTTGTTAGGAGGCACTACTGGAAGAAAGTGAATATAGGCATGTTTATTATTAGTGTACACATTGATACATTAGTATCACCTTTGTTACCTTACAATTAGCATTTTATATCTACAGACAGAGCGGGACGCCTTCCACAGAGTCCGCCATGTTTCTACAGTAGCCCAGAAGAGCTCCAACACTGGCTATAGATGGGGCCGGTTGCATTTATCTCGTTTTGTGGCCACCATAGTTTCTCCTTTGTTTTTGGAAGGAGATGATAAAGCGAGGGAGTTGCAATCTGCCACACACCTAGATGCCACTAGTTGTACACACTGGTCCTTTAATTTAAAAGCTCTGAATTGGTCATCTTGATTTTCCCAAGTAAAGCACCTTGTAACTTATTGAGTTATTTATAAATAAAGTTTATTGTAATATATATTATTATAGTTAAGCATGCTATTTTGCTACACTGTAGATTTATTCCAACTAAAACTAATCCAGATTTCTGGTGATTTTTTGTCTCATTTTTGCAGTGAGGGAAACCAAAAGAAGGCCCCAGGAAATAAACTGTCTCCAGCCACTCCGCTCCCTGGCAAAAATGGGACCCCCACGTTTGCTGCTGTAGCTGCTGGTTATGACAAAAGCCCAGGTAAATACGTACTTAATGTCATTGTCTGTACATTGTTCATGTGGTGGTTTGTTTTTACGAGAGAACACTTACGTTTTACGTACCCGTCAGGTGGCTCTGGCCCAGGTAAAACTGACAGCCAAGGAAAGAGTCTGGCACACATGACATCAGTGGAAAGTGACAGCTCGGACAGGTAATGTAATGTAATGTAAAATGACACAATGTATTTACATCTGGACATGACATCCCAATTTATTGTTGTGTATATATTTTCCTCTCTCACAGCTCTGGATTATGGAGTCCTATTGACACAGCCAGTAGTTCAAACTTTCATTCTACCAACTCGTTCTCTGCTTTTGGAACCAACAATCCCTTCAACCTGACAGGAGGTAATCACAGGTTTATAAACAAACAAAAGAATCTAGAGTAACAAGTGTCACTGTTTATGGTTGACTGGCTGCATTCAAACTGGTGTGTGTGTGTGTGTGTGTTTATTTATGTTTGTGTTTGTTGTTTTAGTTTTCAGTGGAATGAATCTCCAAAAGACGTTGGAGCCTCAGCAGAGCTGGCCTGAGTTCACCCCTGTACCCTCCTCCATCTGGGACATACCAAGCAATGACTCTCTGCACTCCTGGCCCAGCAGCTCCAGCTCACCAACTGCCCCAACTGCAGTAAGATCCATTATTTGTTCTTAATGCAGCTCACACATACTTTTTCTGCTGCTATGATACTATTGTGAAGCTTCTATATATATTCTTTTTATAGTCACTCCTTGGAAACGCCCGCAATCCCTGGTCTGCAACCACACCTTTCAGCAGCTCCATTTGGTCAACAAGCGCAGATTCAGCCTTGCACCCTTTTCCTCCAACGACCAACTCAACAACTCTGACTGATCTGGTCAGCAGTCCGGCCCCGTCGCCACCAGCTCCCACCGAGATGAGTCGCACCTACAACCCGTGGAGCATGTGGCGCCCCACCCTGAGCCGGCGCAGCTCTGAGCCCTGGCCTAGCTCCTCTGACAACGGCAATTAAACAGAGCGTGACTGCACTTAAAAGAAGCACGTCATGGATTTGATGTACTCTGTACGCTAAATCAAATCTTTTATAATCAGAGAATCCCAACAGAAAGCAATGTTACCTGAAGTGTCATGCGTTTGGTAGCCCAGTGCTGTAGGTTGCCAACCCCGCAATTTAGTTCTCTGCAGCTTTTTATTCATGGGGGCAGAAATGCTTTTTATTTGGAACGTTTTATTTGGATTTGTTTTAACAGGTGCCCCTAAATTAAAAACATTGATAGCATGGTATGCTGATGCCATTGCATACATTTTGCTGTTATAGAAAGGCTGGTAATGCTGCATTCCTTCTCAGTTTGATACATGGCACAGAACCAATAAAGTTCAGTATTAATGTTATCTTATTTTAAGCCATGTGTTTTCACAATTATTTTGGTTCTCATTGGTTTCTCATAAAAGTTGGTTTGAAAAGTTAAATTTGCATTTAAATCAAACTAAGCTCTTATTTGGCAGCAGAGATCTTTCATAATCTGAAATGTGATTCTTCAGAACGGCCCAGAAACTCACATTAAAGCGGCCTCTGCCCTAAAATATCAAAGACTTCTGTGAGAGTAAATTGGTCGAGTGATTAAAGTTAAGTTAAGAGGTTTCTGTTGTACATCGCCTCACTTTGTCAGCAAATTTAAATAAAGGACTTAAGCAAAAACAGTTTTTCATGTTATTTTATTACATTCAAACCTGTAATAATTGATCTTGTTTTTAGCCACTGGAGGGCAGCAGAAACATGTGAACACAACCCAACTTTATGGCAAACATTGGCTTATTTACACATCCAGCAGATGAAGAGGAACATAATTTGGTATTTGGTTTGTGCTTAGCTCCCTTTAGTACTGATTTTCTGTGAATACAAGTGTGTTCAGTGTAGTGTAACTTTGAACTCTTACAAACACAAAACAATTTAAGTACAGTTTATATTTTTTTAATATATTTTGACACTCCACCACCATGCTGCCTTATATGACATTTGGGTGTCACTGTAAATATTAAATGGGATTAATGGGGGGTAGTAGGGGTGTTGGGGGGTAGGATGAGAGGGGTGGCAGAGGAGCAGGTGGGAAGGTCCCTCCAGTTTATTTAAAGAGCTGCAGGAATCTTCCTCAGAGAACAACATGAAGGAAACAGTGATTTGTAGTGGCTGTGTTATGATTCACTGTGATAATTCACTTCATGACATACATTTTACAAATCACAACACAGAAAAAAAAGTGGTGTATTGCATTTGAGTTTAGTCCAGCAGGGATCAACCTGCGAATACCTCACTCATATGACAAGAAAAACAATCAACTGTCCAATCACAGCCAGGGGGCGGAGCCATGGTCAGAGTTTATAGGCTTGTTTAAGGTCAAGATAACCTCTGTGGTTGGCGAATGAAGCCCACACGAAGTAACAAAAACAGTTCCTCAAATTGCCACTTGAGACTGGCTATAGAAGTGATCAATCTCTAAGTCCCCATATTAAAATCTAATATTCAAAAAAGAGAAATAAACATGTTTACAGTCTGGTCTGTATAGCTAAATTCTCCATTCACAACTGTACTGGGGTTGAATTTTTATATCTCACCCAAGTCATATTAAGGCTTAAAGTTATGTATAATTAAGGGCTGTGATATTTATTACCTAATGATTCATTAATATGGAATCTCCCAGTCTGTTATATATATATATATATATATATATATAGTATTGTACCTGTATTTAACATGTGCCAAAAAAGTATAAAAATCTGTTTCTTTGTTTTGTTTTGTTTTCAAAATCCAATAATCTTTTCTTTCTGTAAAACAGCTGCTGTAGTTGCCGTTAGCATGCAACGGAACGGGGCTCCAAAACAGACGGAGTCCAGTTTGACCACAGCGGTACTGAGGAGATCTGTAGAGTTTCCAGATGGACTTACCAAAAGATTGCCAGGGTAATGTTGGATGCTGTTAGCTACTTAGCTGTGCAGCTAACATTAGTGGACTAAACCCACCAGTTTGACAACAGGGACTAAAGTACAAAAGTGTTTTTATTGCTGATTTTGGCTCCTACCACCTCGGGGCTACGTTAACTATCGTTAGCTGCAAGAGCTAACAAGCTAACAGCACAGTTAGCTTCTTTTTAGCTAATTCACCTCGGTACTGCTGTCGCTGTGAGGCTGCTGAGCCCCGTTCAGTTGGATGCTAACAGCAGCTACAATACAGAGACAAGCTGAGTGGATTATGATTTATACAAATACAAAGAAATAGATTTATTTGTAAAATGTTTGGCATATGTTAAATAGGGGTACAATGTGACTGAGGATGCAATCTTAAAGTGTTAAAATGAAATTTTTTATTTCACCTTCAGGTCCTTGTGGAGAGGAGACCTCTGTTGATAATTTGGTTCCTGGTAAAAGCCTCCTGAAACTTCCATGATATGGATATGGTTTTGATGTGAAAGACCCCCCAGTGGGATAAATTACACTGTGTATGTTTAATGCCTCTACACACTGGCCTTATTTATTAAAAGAACACAGAAAGTAGAAATTTGCACAACATTCATTCAGAATATACACGTATGTACACATAGATGTTGAGGAGGGGAAGTTGAGGATGAATCCTGTTGAATTTGTGGAAAAAAGTCTGATTCACTGTAAAAGAACAGAAGAGTTTTATAACATTGTTGAAAGAATGTATCTACTCATTGTGAAAAGTGCTGACTCCTGAGGATGGCGATTTTCAGTTGGAGTTTTCTTTCTCTGATGGGTCAGGGAAGTCTTGACTTCCTTCTGATGCTGTGTCTCTTTTTTTAAGAGCTTCCTCCAGCTGTGTGACTTTGCAGAGAACCTCTTTTTCATTGCTCTCGCTGTCTATTATTGATCTTGATCCTGGTCTCGTGTCTCATATCGACCTCAAGATTCCGTTTGTAAATCAAAATTTTGATTTTTTTGAATGATGATTAGATATGAATTAATATGATTAAGATATGAGTTGGAAGTATTTTTCTTACTACTGCCCTGATAAAATGTTCTGCCAAATTATAGACACACATTGACTACATGCAGACCAGCTATACACGAGGTTTCAACCTAGTCTTGTTCTTTTTGGCATGGATGATGTTTTCTAGTTGAAGGAAAGCCTCCCCTGCAGCTCCTTAATGAGAACTTCTGACTGTGCTTTGCATTTAGTATTGGCAGTGCTGCTCTATAATCAAATATGCTTCTTCACTTTTATGTTGTCGTTTAATTTTCGATGTGACTTGTCAAAATGGAAAATCACGTTCAATAATTGTGTCTTTATGTTTTTTATTTAATTGTGGCACAGTTAACACAAACATGAACATTTGATGAAATATATCAGAGCCTTTTGTGAGAATAAATTGGTCAAAGAATACTAACTGCTACTATTTGTCAACATTTTCATACAGTGCATTAAAAAAATAAAATTATTTATATTTAATGATATTCAGGGTGATACAGTGTCTTTTTTTCTTCTTACCGTGACGTCTGTCACCAACGATTACTTCTTCTTAGGTTGTCTAACAGACTTCATGAGTAACTTACGAAACTTGGCAACGTCACATTTAGTCAGAACACACACGCTGTGGCTCTTCTTCAGCATATTTGTGCGATCCAGCCCCATCATGCCTCTAGCGATCGAACCCTGCAGCTCCACGCGGACGGGACACTCGATTCTCTCTGTTACCACGCTGCTGTCAATACAGGCCGCCATCGCGTAGGCATCGTAAGAGACGAAGCCAGGTCCAAAGTACAGGTCTCTCTTATTCATCATTGCCTCTTTGGAGTAAGCCCAGCATTTAGAGGTTATCGTCTTCATAAAGCGTGCGGCCGGCGTGTCCTGATTGATCAACTCTTCAAAGAACTCCTGCACAAGTGAAATCAGAGAAATCAGCGTGGAAACGAACAGTAGTGCGGGGTTATATGTGGTTCTGAACGAGCATCTTACCCAAGTCAGTGCGTTTCTGCATGAATATTCCCATGATGCCAGGTATGTAGGGCAGAGAAATTCTTCAAGAACAACATAGGCAGACTCTGGATCCATTGCAAAGTTGAACTCTGCACATAGTGTCACATTTCCTTTTCCTACAAAGGGAGAATCGAGTTAAAGGAGCCTACATGTTTCAAGAACAAACTCTGCACTCGTGGTGGTTTTACCTTCCATGTTGCCACCCATAATGTACAGATCTTTGAGCTTTTGGGGAAAACACGGATCCAGTCTGACAGCCAGTGCTAGATTGGTGAGTGGGCCAATGGCCACCAGGGAGACCTGAGGAAAGCACATTTTAATAGTAGCACACCAGAGAGCAGCAGCACATTACGGGCAGCGCACAGAGAGGTTTCTCACCTGCTTCTGGTTTTCAGTCACCAGCCTAATCATTGCATTGACTGCGTGCTCTCTCTGGATTTTCTCCTCCCAGTTTGGATCTTTGTCCTCAATCACATCCCCAAGTCCATCAGTTCCAAAGTGGTCACTCACTGGTTTACTGGCTCCAACCAGAGGACCACCAGAACCTCGAAACACCGGAATCTGCAGAAAAACGGAGGCAAGTATGAAATAATGCTTAGAGATTAGAGAGTTTAGATAGTGTGTGAGAAGTACTGTGTACTGTGTATTTGAGAATTAGAAGTTATTTATAAGAAGCAAGATCTGAGGTCTAACAGAAGTAAACGTACCCACTTCCTCCATTAGTTTCCATGGCCATTAAAACCCATTGAAACTAATAAAGAAGGGCTCCTCTAGCAAATGTTCTCACCTGCTGTATAACTAATAATAGTTACGTGCAACTTTTATTCATAAGGAATATATACACAGGAGCCTGTCGCATGTGTGTACTGAAAATACTAATAAAAAGATCCCTCAATTTTTATTGTTTATAAGTATGATAACAAATTGTCTGTGTCTCAGAAACTACAAGGAGCACAAAGAAGTATCTGATACCCATTACCTCATAACAAGTTAACATCATGCACACATATGGAGTGTTGGAATTTGGAAAATATTTAATAATTATAACATAATAAACACCATTTTAGTATTTTCTTTCACTTACCCCCTTACACTTACAGACGGAGAGCACCCTCAGAACGTTCTGACACACATTCTCCACCGCTGCGTTCCCAAACACACAGGTAACAGCCAACACCTCAATGTTGGGTGCTGCCAGGGCCATCATTATAGCCTGAGCATCGTCTATGCCGCAGTCTGTGTCGATGATCACCAGCTTCTTTCCCATGGCTTCCTGCAAAATCAGTGTATTTTAAATCCACATTTCCAAAATCACAGTGCATTAAGTCTTTCAAAGGCTGTTTGGTCGAGGACGCAGGAAGTGCAGCTTTTCTTTAAGTTTCATACAACTTTATTAATGCAGAACCTCAAAGTAGTCGACCACCATATTGTTCACCCTTTCACTATTATTTCAGTGGCAGGTGTCTATCAAATGAAAAGATAGTGGTAAAGTCCCTGTTAATGACACCTTGTGTTTCAGTAAAGTGTTGAACTGTGACATACTGTAGTGTATGTATCAGTGCAGTGGAACTCTTATTGGGAAAATGATAAATACCATTAAAACAAAGTTGATATTCTATCTTATTACATCAAGTTTAGCCCTCTGCTAACTATAATAGAGAAACAGATCTTTAATCGTGACGCTCTTCTTGACTTTCAAATTGTTATTGGAGCGAACAGATCAAATTCTGATGATGAAATTACTCATTTCATGTACAAAAAACAAACCATTGCACCGGAGCACTTCACTTCCTGGAGGTTAGACCATAGTGTTTTCTCCCTAGTCTTTGCCTAAAAACAACTTCGCTTTGCCGCACACCTCCAAAGCACCGTCGTAAGTTCAGTTTGTGGACCTGTCTGATGGTCTCCATGTAAACACACAGTTAGCTTCACAGCGAACAACAACACTGACTATGTCCTTGTTGTCTTATTTAAACGGAGGTTAGCGTACTGGCGCCTTTTTGGTCCAATCCAGCCACCGTTACTGTCACAGCTTTTAAAGGAAAGAGTTTTTTGATAAGATTGGGTAAAGACACAGTTGATGAAATCAGATATTATAAAGTGACAGACTTACCTTCAGTCTGTGGAGTAAACTTTGAAGAGTCACCGCTGCTGTGATTGGTTAGAACTGCAGGATCACACCATCATTTACTAACACGGGTTGTAGACACTGAGAAAGCGCCGTGTACATTTAAAGGACATTTCATATAATATAGCATAACGCCGGGTGTGAATGCACGTAACGACTTCTGTATCAAACTTCATCGTTTACTTGAGTGTTTTCATGTTATTATCTAACGCTAGCTCTATTTCATTTCTGGACACCCCGGTTGCTTTTCACAATGGTACAGTCCGTCAAACCTGCACAGGAAGAAGACTCGGGTCGGCAGGACGACGGTCCGGGATCCTTATCGTTGGTGTTTAACATGTCCCCCTAATGTGCAGCTGGGTTTACTGATGTGTGGATAGTCTGGCGTTGTGCAAAGGTCCAGTCCCGTTTGGTCTTAAGACATTGCACAAGGTATGGTGAAAGAAAACAACGTAACAGCTGGGCGTGTTTACGTCTGCTAACTACCATCCAACAGTGATCCAGATACAGTGTGTCCGTCTCGCGTTTATCGGCTGTACAGCTGAGAGTTCATGTTCAATAACCCTGCAGCCTGTCTTTAGAATAGGCGACTTATTATAGGTTAAAGGTAGTGTTGTGTGATCCCGTCTAATGTCGCTGTAAGTTGAATCAATGACATGCAGGGCTGGGACTGAATAACGTTGAATAAAGACTGTTTATGTGATCCACAGTGCTGGGTCTCTATCACAGCACCTCCATCTTCCTTTCATATCTGTGTAGTGTCTCTAAAACATGCCTGTCCTTTCATCCTCCAGCCCCACAGCCAGCCTCAGCTAATTCTGCCATCCATCATATAAGTGGCTGTTCAATGCCTAATACATCAGAAGGTCAAGGAGCAAACCTTTCTGGGCCAGCAGAACCATCGGGGTTGCCCAGGCCCACCGATGGGGAGGAGGAACGCAGTCTGATCAGCTCCCTCGCCCGGGACGCTGCCAGAGTGAGGAGGGCTTCGAGTGCCGAGCTCCACCTGCCGTGGACCTGTCCGGTCACACACTCCCGTGAGAAGTTCTACACAGTCTGCTCCGATTATGCCCTTCTCAACCAGGCTGCCTCTGTGTACTGCCCCCCGAACACAGCCAGGGATGTGGTCCCGAACAAGCAGGGTGATGGGCCATCATCAGCTGACTTGAGCACAGGCCAGCCAGGAGAGGCCCTTGTGGGATCAGATGGGGACTGGGACATGGTGGAAGTGTCCTCTGGCCACAGTAAGCCTATTTTGGCCTGGGAGATTGATACCACAGACTTCAATGCTGTGCTCACCAGAAAAACAAGAACAAGTAAGAACGACATTATTATAGAAGCCTGTTATACGTGTACAATCTGTAAGTGGCTGTTCACTCATGTGCTATGATTTTCACCCAAAGCTGCCATTCCTGTTTTAAATAGCATCACATGTTTAGATCATATGTCTCCCATTTGATTGCTGAACTCCGGTTTGATGATTGTGTTAACTAATGTTGTATTTCAGGCAATGTGAAGAAGAGCAGCACCAAGAAGATGAAGTCATCAGACAGACCCAGCCGAAATCTTCAAGACGTCCCTTCTCATGCCTCACTGGAGGAGATCAAACAGAGAAAAGTGCTCGACCTCAGAAGATGGTAATGTTATATTTAGTGCCTCAAAAGTTTTAAAGGCAGACCCAGTGACGCGAGCTTCACATCAGGGAGCAGGAGCACATTTTCAATGCAATATAATGTATTCTGAGGGTTATTTTCTGCTCCAGGTACTGCATCAGTCGGCCACAGTACAAGACTTCGTGTGGAATCTCCTCATTGGTGTCCTGCTGGAATTTCTTGTACAGCACTCTGGGTGCAGGAAGGTGAGCGACGCGTAATGTTGTCACTTCACGTAAAGATACAGCTCCTGAGACTAAGTGTATATTTATTTGCTTTGCTAGCCTTCCACCCATCTCTCAGGAGGAGGCTCTGCATATTCTGGGGTTTCAGCCGCCATTTGAAGAAATCAAGTTCGGTCCTTTCACTGGAAATGCTACACTGATGCGGTACACTCAGCTTCGCGCCTTTTTTTAAATAACCACATCAACCGAAATGTATGCAGCTCAGTAATCAGTCAATTTTCCTTACAGGTGGTTCCGACAAATCAACGACAACTTCAGAGTGCGAGGCTGCTCCTACATTCTGTACAAACCACATGGAAAACACAAGACAGCAGGAGAAACAGGTGAGTCCCTCAGCTGTCAGACTCAACTGCATGTCTGTTCATGAAGACGTCAAACAGAAGTGATAACCACTCTGGTGTTTTTAGCTGAAGGAGCATTGATGAAACTGACACAAGGGCTGAAGGATGAGTCTATGGCCTACATTTACCACTGCCAGAACCACTACTTCTGCCCAGTGGGCTTTGAAGCCACGCCACTCAAAGCAGCAAAGGCATATAGGTAGGTCACATTACTGCAGCTTCAGTTGATTATTATCGAGTAGTTTCCTGGTTAATTTTTATTTATTGAAAGTAGTCTGTGTTGTCTGTGAAACATAAGAACTGAGTCCAAAGTGATGTTTGTAAATGTAATAACTAACTAAAAGTTAAAATCCCAATATTGCAATGATGTAAAATGGAGAAACAGAAACACAAAGAGTTTTTTCTGTAAATTGGCTAAAATGACTAATCAGTTATCAAAATATTTGATTATGTTTCTGTTGATGTACTAATTGATTAATTGGCGAATCATTTCAATCGTTTAAATTGGTGGCTGTTGTTCCTTTTTGTGTAAAGGGGCCCTCTACCAACAAATGAAATGGAGTACTGGATCCTTATTGGTGAGCCCAGTAGGAAGCACCCAGCTATTCACTGTAAAAAGTAAGCTTTATGATTCAGTCTGCCATATTCGATCATGTGCTGTAGCTGAGCTGTTTAACAGGAAGCCTCTGTTTTCAGATGGCTGGACATTGTGACTGATCTCAACACGCAGAATCCAGAATACCTTGACATTCGTCACACTGAGAGGGGGATTCAGCGCCGCAAGACCAAAAAGGTTCCCCACCTTGCACCTGTTATTTAAAATATCACTGATTATGTTAACCTTTCTGGGTCAGAGGCTAACTGAAAGAGCGTTCCCTGGCTCACAGGTGGGCGGCAACCTGCACTGCATCATGGCCTTCCAGAGGGTGAACTGGCAGAAGCTCGGCCCCTGGGCTCTAAACCTGGAGAACCTGCGCCATGAGTTCCACCACTCCGGTGCTGAGCGGGCCCACGGGAGCGTCGCAGACGAAACGGAGGACAGGACGTCATCCAAGCGCCTGGCCTACCTGGGACGCTCACACAGTATGGGCAGTCAGAAAGACACCAGCTGGAAACGCCAGTCTAACACTGCAGAGTACAGACAGAGGAGCTCCCCTGACAGCGACCTTGAAGAAGACATCACAGACTGAAAAGGTTTATTGGAACAAATGAGGAGGGGGGGCAAAAAATAACAGACATTACAATACAGTACAGTAGCCCTAAGATACATTTTAAAAGGATAAGTTCTTCTATATTTTACTGCCAACAAATCCCATGAAAAGACGTAAAAAACGTGTTAGACTCTCAGTACTTTCTAAACCCTTTACCCTGTCTGAGGCACTCAGCCCAAAGCCCATTTGTTACTACTGCAATAACAGTTTTTAGTCACTGGGGGGCAGCGGAAACAAGTGAACTTGTTAGCCAAACATCCAGCAGTTACGAAGCAATATTAGCATCCAATATCATCCAGTTTGGTGCTGAGCAGGTAGCGTACATTGGGCTGTTTGCAAACAGCTGCCTGCTAGTTAAAAGTATCTAGTGAAACTCACTGTAAAGCTCTGTAAAGCTGAGGAGAGCTGCTGTTGTGGATAATAATTCTCTTTAGGTTCATCACTACAAGCAACCCCATTCCATGTTGTTTTCATTGTCATTAAATACACTGTGATCGATCGATAAAATTATCGATTATAGCTGCTTTAAAAAAGGCGCAATACAGCTGGGCAATGTTGTTTTTAACGAATGTTACTTGAACAGGAGTAAATAGTATATATGTTGGGGACTATTTTTACCGGTGGATTAATACACATTTGGTGCAGCAGTGTGTATTTACGGCAGCGGGACAGTGTATGTGCGATTAACTGAAACTACAGTGCTCATGTTTACTGTAATGAAGGAACTGCCTCACTGGATTGTTTTGAAGTTTTTGAAACAATAGCTCTGTTACACAGAGGAATAAGATATATCGGGTTTTGGATACAAAGATACCTGCTAATATGATCAATTCATTGATGTCTTTTCATGGGATTGGTTGGTTGAACATAAGAAAATTATAGAACATCATTAGACCTACACTTTAATATTGGAGAATGAATGTTTTTTAAGACTGTTCGATGCAGATGCAACTCAACCATCATTTTTGGGGCCATGTTGTAGTTTCCAATTCTTTCATTCAAGTATTCTGTTAAAGTTCGTGTTGGTGAGGGTCTGCCGACTGAAACTTTTTATTATGCTGTCATCAGATGATACACCAACAACTACTATAAATCAATAACAACGGCAGCTACACAAATGGGCCACATTAAACGGCAGCAGTGCATCAGTCAGTCTATAAACTGTTTATATGTTTTCAATACAGCCGACTTGCTGTTATGTTGCTAATGCATCAGTTGCAAGCAAGAGTTAAGTGTGTTATGTGAATGAAAGGGGAAAGTCATGACATGAAGTGCACAGGGAACGGGGCATTTTCCTAACAGCACATCCAACTACGGCCTCAAAAATGAGCTTTTTTAAGAAGTGAAGTGCAACATGAGCTTTATTGAGTGGTTACAACTTCACGGCCACTGTATTGTAAGGTGTTTCTGTTATTTTGTCTATCCCTGTGTTATACTAAAAGCGGCAGATTAAGACTTGACACTACATATCATATACACATTTCTCTTGATTTAATTGTAGTTATATCACCTCATCTTAAACCCTCTGCAGAGTGCACATTATAATCAACTAGTGCTGTCGAGAAAACACACGACTTTGCTGTAAATTTTGTTCCAAGATGACACACCTCCCATAATTCATTGTACAGGTAAGTGGGCTTGTTTTGCGCCTGACGTACAGTGGTTAGTTCAGTGGAAATGCTGTCCAGTTCAAGTGTTGTGAAAGCAGCTGACATTTTGTTGTGCTTTGTGAAACCTACAGTGACACTGTCGCGTAGATGATCCCAGTTTTTAAGAGACGGGAGCTGTACAGAAGTGATAGTGGAATCCCTCAATCCCTCAGAACCGTTTAAAATGTGAAACCACAGAAAGTGAAGACTGCATGGTTTGATTTCATGTTTATATACAGCCACAATTTGTTCTCACTACTCTGTTTGCACCTTTGCCATTTGTCTTTGATCCACACAAATGTCATTGTGTCCTTTGATGTAGTGCTTTATTTATTTATTTTCCAATAAACTAAGATTTTTATAAACTCCTGGAACAGACGTCTTTCTTCACAACAATCAAACGATTACATTTTCAGTCCAGTCACACTGCAGAGGCTGGAGAACTTCCTTTTAACTGTTGTCGTAACTCTGCTATGTGAGCGGGGCCGATACGGCAGCATCCTCCTGATGGACAAACAGAGACTGATCAGAGAAAATACAGAAAAACAGCAAAGGTTAATGGAGGAGAAAACAGATCACCTTACCTATCAAAGCAGCACCTTGCTTCATCCACGTACGGCTGAGTTCAGGTATTAATGCTGAAGCTTTCTCTGATGTTAGCCACCTTCGTAAGGTGAAAGAAAACAGTCGGTAGCGGTATTCAGACAAAAGTAGCAATACCACACTGAAAAATATTCCTGCATTACAAGTAAAAGTCCTGCATTCAAAAGTTTACTCTTACGAAGTACAACACTATATCAAATAAATGTACTTAAAGGTAAAGTACTCCTTATATAATGTTATATATTATTGGGTCATCATTAACTCGATGCATTTAAAATGGTGTAGGTGGGGCTGATTTTACTACTTTATATACTGTGAGCAATTTAATTGATAGAACTGTATCATATAAAGGGATCATATGTATTTCTCTTAATCTGCAAAGTAACTTGTAACTATAGCAGTTAAATAATTGTTGCTTTTCCATCTAAAAACTCCCATACAACCATTATATTATGTACTGTAGTTACACATTACCACAAATAGTTGGAAAATACAGAAAGATGAACAACACTTCTGAACAAGAGATGGGTCTTGTTAAGTAGGATCTGGTCTTTCTGGCCCTCTTTTTAATGGTGACTTACAATAAATGAGCTAAAGACTTACAGTATTTTATTAAAGGAGAGTTTGACATGCCACAGGGGTTGTTGAAGCTGTGTCTTTACCATTAAAACTTGACTCACCCCTGCTTACTGTTCCACTCCTCTCCACTGTTGGGGTACACCACCCAGCTCATGTCTGGGCTTAGCAGTGACCCGGCAGAGTCCAGCAGCGGCTCCACCAGCGCTGGCGAGCAGCAGTTGAGTCCTACAGCGACCAGCTGTGGGGATCTATTAGTAATCTGCACTGCGTCAGTGAACAGGCTGCCATCTGATATACACTTCCCATCCTGACAGCATATAGTACAAAGCATGAGTCACTTTATACACTGCACAATGCATGGACATCTGTTCTACAGTTCATCAGCAGTGGTTACCTTACAAGAGAAGGCGAGCCAGGCTTTAGAGTTGGGGAACTCTCTGAGCAGCTCAACCAGAGCCTCCGCCTCTTTGATACTTGGGATTGTCTCAAAAGCAATGAGATCAGCTCCTGCTGCCGCTAAGCAGTCCACCTGCGGCCGGTGCCAAACTTTAAGATCCTTGGAAGAGAAGAAAGACACGAGACCACTTTATTCTGCAGTAAAGGACTGTTACCATGTTTTTATTTTCTGTCTGTCACCTTCATACAGCATGAGTAACCAGTGTGAGCAGCTGGGGGCCACTCACTTCAACAGTCATATCCTGTGCATAGGCCCCTGTGTACTCGGAGCCGTTGAGCAGAAAGGCCCCGTACGGTCCAACAGAGCCTGCCACCAAGGGACATCTCTGCCCTTATAAACAAATAAATAAACCCAATGAAATAGCATCATAGTTAACAGAGACACAGTGTTTCACACCTTCAGTGATATCAAAGATATGTCTGTACCTGCTGGACGACTGTCAGAGACAAATCTCTCTGCTGTCTCTTTGGCCAGTTGAACTCCTGACATCAGCAGCTCTCTGGCACATTCAGAGCTTAGGTCCAGGTGACTGATGAATCCTGTAACACTGGCCTGGTATGTAGCTGTTGTGATGACATCAGCCCCACTGAGGAGAAACCTGTTGATACATTGCATATATATATACCCCCACATAAAATAATGCTGAACTGGAGAATGATTGGCATATTTGCTTGAAAAAACCTTAAAGATGATCAAAATAGTAGTTGGAATATTTTGCATGGACCTACCTGTAATGAGCATCTCGTATGGCCTGGGGATTAGTATGCAAAAGCCTGGCGCTCCACAAAGGATCACCCTACGTGTGTAAGACACACACACACACACAGACGTTTCAGTTTTAGCTTTTAAAATCTGGATGTGTTTGACTGAGAGAGAAATACTGATCTCAGTTTCTCCAATAAGATGTTTACTCATAGTTAAATGTCTTGGACCAATGGACCAAGACATGGAATTCTTTTTTATAAGTGAGCCACCTTTGAATTTATTTGCTTTATTTTTCTTCTGTTCCAAAATATTAACATAAAAATATAAGCAGTTTATTCATATTATTGCGAAATACAGAGAATTGTGGTATTGGTATTGTTACTTTTGCTTTACTTTATTTAAGTGAATACATCTGCCACCACTGCCATTCCCACTGTTCATTTCACCACAAACTATAAGTCATGCTTTCCTTTTTTCTTCAGTTTCTAACCACTGTCATTGATTGTTACCATGGAAACACACTTATTTGACCTACAGGGTTTTGTGCAACTGTCTGAAATCCAGTGTCTTATCATGCGACCCAAGATCATGGTCAATGAGTCTAAGGCAGTTTCAGTGTTGTTCATAAATGCACCCCCACATAAAATCATAAATAAAGAGTTGGCCAAGTTACATTTAGATAAATTCCCCATGTCCAGTTTGAATATTAGGGATATGATGATGGTACCTATGTCTGGTCTTAGCCAATAAAATACATGTACAGTTCAATGGCTCTCATTACATGAAGCTGTGCAGTGAAGCATACGTGCTGGGCCATGAGAATTTAAATGAGAAACCAATGCTGACTGACAGAAGAGAGAGACAGTTAATGCAGTGAATCAGGTGACTGTATTGTTTTATGTGTTACCTGTAAATGAGCTCCTTGCGCTTCCAGTTCAGTTGCTAGTCCGCCATCCAAGATTAAAGGTCCATTATCATTCATGTAAGGTCTCAGCCGAGCAGGGGAACCCATGGAGAACAGTTTCAAGAGGCACTGAAGTTATGTCCTGTTCACTCTAAACGCATACAGAAGAGGGCATACAACTGTTAACATAGCCTGCTTTAAAAAAACCTAACGCTACAACCTAAATTAAACTATTTCAGATGCACATGAAATACTCCGTGTCACTTTTCAGACTGTTGTTGTTCCGGGTGACAGAGAAGAGTCAAACGTTGTGTTTAAAGCCGCTCGAAATTTGAGAAATCGGGGTGATTCCGACCTCCACAATATCACCACTAGATGGCGCATAAAACAATAACAGCGCAGATAGGTAGAATCAGAAGGTGTGTAGGGTTATATATACGCTCAGCCCAGCACCTGAATCAATCAGTTCTTGTAATTTTCTACCCTGAAATGTAAAATGGCCACTTGAACAAAGCTAACAGCATCATGTAATTTTGCAGTTTTTACGAGATATCAACATTTACCCCTCACCTACCTTCATATTATATTCATATTCACGTTTGCCTACCCATTTGGGTGGTGACTTCTTACGTGTGTGAAAACTATATTTTATGTTGTATACTTCATATTATTTTTGAAATCTGTTTTTCAGTAAGCATGTTTCTTTGCTGTTAATGACTGAAGTGGTTAACTTTTCTTGCTATAGCCAGAAACGAGTCCCATGTACACTGTACACGGTGAATGCACTTGAACGCACCTTGGCTTGTCACTACAGTTACTATAGAAACGAAACATAGCCCGCGATAGCTAATGTTTGCTAGCTGAAGACAGCACTGGGACATGTAGCATTTGTTAATTTGTCAAAAATGGTAAGTTAAAATGTCCCCGTTCGATAACAATAATGCGAACTCGTTTCGTTAATGAGAAAGTCCTCACCATTGACCTCCATCTGTCCAACCGACCAAACGGATAGTTGGCGCTAACGTTAGCATAGCAAACACAAGATAGCAGCTAACGTTAGCATAATGAACGTTACTAACTGCCGTTAACCATTTAACGTTTTAGTCCGAGTAAAGGGCTTTTATCAACGTTGGCATTTTAGAGTTGCCAACGTAAGTAAGTTAATATACGACGTGAGTTTGACGTCAGTATAAAGAGTTTCTGACGTTGTAACATTTGTTTCCATGTTGTGTGTAGCTAGTTGTGCTGAGTTGGGTGTTTGTGTTAATACATGAAAGACACAAAGTGGGGTTAGGCGGGTAATACAGTCAGACTTTTACTGTGAAGAAGTCCGAGTTTCTCAGCCTGGATTCAAGCTTGTTGACTAATACTAACATTAACTTAATAAAAGCACAGAACATGGCAGTAGTTGCTGTGTCAGTAAGCACCTGTTCTGCCCCACTGACAGTGATAGTGGGTAAACTAACTTTAGATAGTTCAAACATAAAACATGTCTTCAATATCAGTGCTCAGTGTATGTGTTGAGCAAAATAGTTCCTGGATGATTTGTTTGATAAGATAATTTCATCCACCACATTTTACTCACATTTCTGTAGAGCAGAAGGAAGAGGTTGTTTATTGTCTTTGTCTTTGTCAGGGTCACAGGCTGGAGCGTTTATAAGTTAACTCTGTGCAGAAGACAAGAAACACCTTGGACCTACACACACACACACACA